TCAAGATTCTGACCATCTGGATTCTCTATCTCAGGAGGTCTAGGATTTAAATCATTAACTCCAGAATTTACATTTTCTGACTCCAGACAACTTGGTTCACTCATATCAACAGAACTTGATTGTGGAACAAGCTGAGTTGGTGTGAACTGATCAGATTTGGTGGGATTGACAGATTCACACTTATTATCTGCACAAGTTATTTTCAACTGGTCTGCATGTCTACGGACAATAAGCCCATCATTTGTTTTTACTTTATAAGACACAGGTCCTGTACATTGAACAATTTGACCTGGTATCCATTTTTCCTTTCTCCCATAATTTCTTAGATACACATTATCATTAACTGCAAATTCTCTTTCAATGGATGATTTGTCATGATTTACTTTTTGTGTATGTTGATGTTGGGAAACAGACCTTTGAACAGTTGGATGTAGTAGGTCAAGATGAGTTTTAATTTTCCTACCACATAGCAATTCACATGGTGCAACACCTGTTGTTATATGAGGAGTTGTGCGGTATTTGGTTAAGAACCTGTTTACTCTTTCTCTAAGAGAAAACTTGTTACCGGTATTCATTTTTACCATAGCGGTTTTGAATATGCCTACCGCTCTTTCAGCCAAACCATTCCCAGCAGGATGATAGGGGGATGTGGTTATATGCTCAATACCATTTGCCACACAAAACAGTTTAAACTCATGAGCTGTGAAACTAGGCCCATTATCTGAAACAATTTGATCTGGTAATCCATGAGTTGAAAATATTTCCTTAAGTTCTATAATGGTATCATTTGCAGTGATTGTGTTCATGATTTTAACTTCTAACCATTTAGAATGTGAATCAATAACAATTAAGAACATTTTGTTCATGAAAGGTCCTGCGAAATCTATATGTATACGTTTCCATGGCTCGATTGGCCAGTCCCAGTTTTGCAAAGGTGCTGTAGCTGGTTGATTTGAATGTTGTGCACAGCTTGAACAAAGTTTTACATATTTTTCAATATCAGCATCCATATGTGGCCACCAGAACCATGATCTTGCTAGACTCTTCATTTTGGAAGAACCAAGATGAGTATCATGTAAAGTTCTTAAAACTTCTTTTTGTAACATTTTGGGGATAATTACTCTTGACCCCCATAGTATACATCCATCTTCTAGACTTAACTCTGTTTTTCTTATTTTATATGGCTTTAAGTCCTCATTCACTGACTCTTCAGGCCAACCATTTTTACAGTACTCATATACTTTTATTAAGCACTCATCTTTTTGTGTTTCTCTTTTAATATCATTCACATTTATATTGGAGTTATCCATGATAGTGAAGAGAACAAATACATCTTCTGGTACATAGCTCAGGCTTTGGTTTTTTAAAGGTAATCTACTAAGACTATCTGCACTATTCTCAGATCCAGGTTTGTATTTCAATTCATAATTATATGCAGTTAGTGTGATAGCCCATCTTTGAATTCTTGGTGAGGCATGCTCAGGTAGGGTTTTGTTTTCTCCAAATAAACCTAGCAATGGTTTATGATCTGTAAAGATGGTGAACTTCCTACCAAACAGAAACTTATGAAATTTCTTAACACCAAAAATGATGCCTAAGCCTTCCCTATCTAACTGAGAATAATTTTTCTCAGCCTGGTTCAAAGATCTACTGGCAAAAGCAATGGGTCTGTCACCCTTCTCATCCATGTGGGACAAGACTGCTCCTACACCATCTGGTGAAGCATCACATGTTAATATAAGTCTTTTCCCTGGGTCATAGTGAGTTAGTAAGGTGTCAGCAGACAAAGCCTCTTTTGCTGTATTAAAAGCAGTATCTTGTTGTTTACCCCAGTGCCAAGTTGCATTTTTCTGTAGCAGCTTGTACAGTGGTGATAGTTTACCAGACAGATTCCCTATGAACTTTGCATAGTAATTTATCAAGCCCAAAAAAGCTCTTAGTTGTTGGGTATTTTTAGGTTTGGGTGCTTCTTTAATGGCTTTTGTTTTCTCTGGTTGAGGTCTGATGCCTTGTTTGCTCAATATATAACCAAGAAAACTAATTTCTGTCAGCATGAATTGACATTTATCTTTCTTTATCTTTAAACCTTTTTCACCAACAATTTTCAATACTTTATCAAGTGTTTTAAGATGTTCAGTGTCATTCTTACCAGTTATGTACACATTGTCAAAGTACACACAAACATTTGGAATATCCTTAAAAATACTGTCCATGACAGCTTGGAAAATTCCAGGGCTGGATGATATGCCAAAACATAGTCTTTCATATTGGTAGAGTCCTTTATGTGTGTTTATTGTCGTATAGACTTTTGAATCTGGATGCAGTTCTAGTTGAGTGTAAGCATGACTAAAGTCTAATTCAGTGAATTTGTCTCCTCCTGCCAAATTCAAAGAAATTTCCTCAATGTTAGGTATAGGGTACCTATTTAGCTCTATTTGCTTATTCAGTGTAGTTTTATAATCTCCACAAATTCTTATAGAACCATCCTTCTTTAACACTGGCACAATGGGTGTCGCCCAATCAGAATAGTCTACCTTCTTTATGATGCCATTAGATTCCAATCTACTTAGCTCATTTTCAATTTTGTTCCTCATTGCATAAGGTGGAACTCTAGCTTTGCAGTATCTTGGATTTGTGTCTTTAATGCTTAACTTCACTGTTCTATCATTTAGTAATCCTGGATTACCAAAAACACATTTATTTTCAGATATTACTTTATCTAGTGAAGTAAGACTAGATTCTTTTACATTCTTCAATGAACAAATACTCTCCCAATTTAACTTAAGATCACTTAACCAGTTCCTACCTAGTAATGGCGGTCCATTTCCTTTAACCACAAGAAGAGGAAGTTTAACACTTTGACCATTATAACTTACATGAACCATACACTCTCCTATTACCGGAACATTGTCACCAGTGTATGTTGTTAGACACTTGTGACATGATTGTAGAGGCACTGATCCTCCTGTGACAGCGTCAAAATCTTTCTTTGTTATGACTGTTAGAGATGCTCCAGTGTCAAGTTGGAAGCTGATGCTCTTACCGTTGATATTAACTGGTACATTGATGGGAGCATGACTTATTGATTTCACAGAGAATAGGTTGAAATCCGGCTGCGAATCAGTTTGAGCATTTTCACAGGTAGAGTGGTTCATTGGTTGGGTTAGGTAGTCTTGGTGAGAGTTAACATAGTGCTGCCTTTGGTTGCTGTACTGTCTTGACTGGCTAGATTTAGCAACAGACGAAGACTTTGCGAAGCAGGCCTTAGCAATGTGACCTTGCTTACCGCACTTATAACAAGTTGCAGACTTGAACTTGCACCGATGAGATGCATGGGGACCTTTGCATCGATGACATTTTTGATAATTATTACTAGATTTAGATCTAGGATTTGAACGAGCAGGCTGTTTAGCATAAGTTGGAATGCTGTGATGGGGTTGATGTTTATTGACTAACCTGCTGTTTACTGCATGGATCTCTGAAGGTGCTAAAGATCTCGCCGCATCTGATGACTGCTGGAATGACATTGCAAGTTGTATTGCTTTTTCCAATTTTAGATCTGACTCGAGCAGCAACTTTCTTTGAATATCAGGACTGTTTACACCTGTCACAAACTTTTCACATAATCTGTCAGACAGCGTGTCTCCGAATTCACAAAATTCACTTAAATGACGTAAAGCAGCAACATATTCTGATATTGACTCGTTTGGTTGACGAGTCCTACTGTCAAATCTAGCTCGACATAGAAACTTTGATGGGGTAGGCGCATGGTGGTCTGTTAGCAATTTGCTCAGCTCGTTAAAGCTCTTGGTATCTGGACTAGCTGGTGCGCATAAGTCCTTTAGTAGCCTAAATTGTTGAGGCCCTATGACTGTTAACAAAACAGCTCTCTTTTTGGCTTCTATCGTCACGTCGTTAGCTTCAAGGTAAAAGCTTAACCTCTCTAGGTAATCTTGAATGATTTCATCATTCGCATCAAATTCTTTCATTTGGCCATACAGCGCCATAATTCTAGAAATAATTAGCTAATAAGCTCTAGCAAACCTCTTTTTTGCGTAAGTAGGTGCTCTTTCTAGTAGATGTTTATCCTTCGTCGCCAATGAGATAGATTGACAAACAATGACGAGAAGCCGCGTTGGTGTTAACAATCTTTATTTACAGACGCCATGATGCAAAGAGAGGAAGAGGAAGTAGCCAGAGACAACTATATATAGATAACAACATGTAAGGGACATCACTCAAGATAACAATATAAATATAATACCAATACAATTATCTCAATCTATTACAATCATCTATTGGAAATTTAATTGTACTACCTATCAGTGGACTCTATGAGACTATTGTTTCTAGTCAGGCTAAAGGAGTAAGGTTAGATTAGGGCTAAAAACCGTATCTTTTTAAGTGCTGCGGAAATTATAACAAGTGAAACCAAATGTAAACGGTTTCTAGAGAGATGGGAACGTGCTGATGAAATGGCGCTCGGTGGTGATGATTCGTGCGCAAATGGATGTTGAACGATGGTGATGAGCCCCCCTCCACTTGTCACAAAATGTCATAAACAGTGTTTCTTCCAGACTTTTTTCTCCAGGGGGGGCACTTGAAATTTTCGGGGGGGGGGGGGGGGGGGTAGTTTCTTCGGGGGGGGGGGGGGGGGAGATGCCTGGAAGAAACTCTGGTCATAAAGTCGACCACTACACCCGATCCCTCATCTGTTTTCCAATTTCAGAAGGGGATAAAACCAATCTTGGTTAGTTTTGTTGAAAATAATAAATGGGTAGTTTCCCTTGGTAAGATATTTTTATTTTTAATTTTTAACACAAAAATAATCACAAATATTGGAATATCGTTAACTAGATCAATTTGCCTTTTTTAAAAGTGTAAATTGATGAAGCAGGCGTAGATCTATATTAGCTTGATACTATCAATAACATTATTATAAAAAAAAAAATCCAAAAACCAACTCCGCTTCCCCGGCGCATAAGTTTGTTTTCAGGATTAGAGAGTTCCAATCAAACTAAAATGACCATCTTCAGTATCTACATAATAAACAAAGCTGGTAGTTTAATATATCATTATGATTGTCCGAATACATCTAGACCGGCGATAGAAAAAACATTCAGCTACCCATTGGAACTGGTACTGAAAGTTTTTGATGAAAAGGTGGTGGTAGCTTTTGGTGAACGTGATGGAATCAAAGGTACTCCTACACTACACTACACAACTACAAAACTACACGACTCAACTGAACTTCAACTAGATCTAGATTCTAGATCTAGTCTAGAATCTAGGCAACTACACTCTCAGTCACTCTGCTCAAATAAATTTTAAAAAATGCAATTTTTTTAAATAGTCAAATCCAAATAATCAAATACTCGACAAATAGTCAAATTAGGCCTATATTGAATATTCAAATATTTAGTATTACTTAGGCTACTATTACTATACTAGTTTTTCTCACTAAATCTAGAATTTACGCAATTATCAATTTAAACATGACCACTGAATAAAAGACATCCATATTTAATCCATTAGGCACTAACTTTGGAGTTTTTAGTTCTTTTTAAACTAAATTACTTAATTTAATATTTATTGTCAATCACTGCCATGTCCAACACATCTCTCCAAGACAACTCTTCTTAAGCTTGAAGCTAAAGAAAACCACAAATCAAGTTAGACTTTTTAAGTGGCCATGCACAAGAGTTCCTCACTAGTGATCACCAAATAGTGGTCACGTGGTTTTTTTTTCAAAAACAAATTTGGTTGTCATTTTTTCGGCTGGTCTCATAAAAAAACGGTTGACGATATTTGATTTATTTTTTCATAGACTGATAAAACTAATAATGCTTTAGTATGGAAATCAATTTTGTAATATGGAAATTGATATTTAAAAAGTTCTAGTATTTTTGATGAAACCAACTTTTAAATTAAGCCTTCATTCTCCAACGCAAATTTTAAAATGCTTTTCTGGCATATATAGCCCTGCCACCTATAGCTTGTTGTTATAACGTGAAATCCCGCCATTTTGCGCGTGGTAAACATTTTAAAAACTAATTAGTAGAAGGTCTCTGGAATTTGGCCGAAAAATCGTCGGAAGTCAAGCGTCCGGTCCGGGCGCCATATTGTTGTTAGCAACCGACCACGCCTCCAAGTTAGCGAGTAATACTATACTATACTATTAGAATTAGGGCCTCGGCCTCTAGACTCTAGGCCTAATATTTTTAATTTAATATTAATATATAAATATAATGACATAATGACTCAAAAACATACACATAGCAACTAACTCTAGGGCTTAGATCCTATGTCAGAATGTCATGAGTCTGAGACTATCATCAGATTCTTGCTAGTATATTTACTATTACTAGATCTAGTAGTAAGTAATAGGCCTATTGCCTAAAGCCTCAAATATATAAGTTTTTAAAATACAGTTGTCTTGGACCTACTGGGGATCGTGGCCTGGTGCACTGAGCACTAGAGGGCACAGTTGAAAACTTGTGCACAAGAAATTATGATATGACAGGTCAAATTAACGAACATACTTACAATTTTTTTTTTCATTACAGTGGGTCATGCAGTTCTCGGAATCAATGGAGTTCCTGCAGAGGGTAAAATGTTGAAAGACAAAAGAGACATAATGGAGGTGCTTTCAACTGAAAGTAACTACCCAATAAACATAAAATTTGGTAGACCACATCTAACCATCAATGAGAGAATTATGCTGGCCAGTATGCTTCACTCGTAAGAAAACATTTCTTTCATTCATTTTTATATACAGATTCGTAACCTCAGTTTTTAAAAAATGTTTAAAAATGTTTAAAACAAATATATTAACTTATCAATAATACTTTACATGAAATAGGTGTGAAACATTTTTGGTTTCTATCTCTTATAAAACTAAAAAGACTTTCTATTATTATAATTTCAGACTGTTTGCTATTGGGTCACAGTTATCTCCAGAGCCAAATTCATCAGGAATCCAGTCACTTGAGACAGACACATTCAAATTGCATTGCCACCAGACAATGACAGGTAAATATTTATATTCTACAATTTCTAAATCATCAACCCTTAATTTTTTTCTCATGCTCAGTAATATCATTAAACCTTTTAGACATGTCTAAACAAAATTGTATGCATATATGTTTAACTGAAAGCCTAACCAAAATAGTTAATCTGAAATTACAATATGAAAAGATAAGGACTAGATCTAGTTGTTTCAATAAGCCTGTCCGCTTTTTTCTTTTCAGGCGTCAAGTTTGTGATTATCTCTGATCCTAAGCAAGCCCATGTTGATATTATCCTAAAGAAACTTTATGAAATATACTCAGATTTTGCCCTGAAAAATCCCTTTTACTCCCTGGACATGCCAATAAGGTACAACCACAACTTGCTAAATATTATTCTTTGACACTTTTTGCTTTCTAGTTTACCTAAAAATAGAGCAAATGACTCCCCAATTCAAGTGAATTCATTAATAAACTTAAAACAATTGCATGAAAAAATGAAAATTATTTACTGTAACTAAATACAAAAATTAGTTGAAGAATATAACATTTTCATTGGAAAAGCAAACTTACTTAACTATTATGAACTTTCCCACATAATACAATCATGTATTTATCTATGTATATTGCTTATAGTTAAAGTCACTTTTATAAAACCTCTGTTATTATTTACACACAGTGTAAGAAAAACTGTTGCACCCACATTATTGTGGGTTTTATTTTTTCAAATTTAACAAGTTTGAAGTTTGCTACATCAGATCTTATAAAATCATTATAACAAATTTTCTTGAATAGGGCAGAGCTCTTTGACAGCAGTCTTCAGGCTGTGATGGAACAAGCAGACAAGCCAGGACTAAACAACATCCTGGGTTAAATTGTTTATGTGATTCAACAAGCACCTTCTACTGTGGCATGATCAAATATCCAATCAAAGATAGTCAGCTAAGGAACCAATGCATTTTTCTGTATTTTTCATAATTTTATTGAACCACTTGTGTTAAAAAAATAAGTTTACTTATTAACTATTTTCATAAACCTATTAATAAAAATATATGCACATATTTTGTTCTAGAACTTTAAATAATAGTAAATCTGAACACTAATACATCAAACCCAATGTATTTTTTCATCTTATGATTGATAAATCATATGGCTGCTATAAGTTGTGCCATATAATACACACTAACATTTTTTTAATGTGTTAAGAGAAGAAAGAATTAATGTAATTTTGTCGCCTACAGTTTGTAAATATTTTTTTGTTATGTTCGACAAGAATTGAATGAAAAGAATTGAGTGAAATATTGTTAAAATGTATTTTGTATTAGTGCAATAAATTTGTTGTATAAAATGTATTCATCTACTTTACATAAGATGACGTTATTTTGTTTTAGCTATGTGCTAATACTTTTTGGGTCCAAAGTCATAAAATAAAATACTTTAAAATGAAAAACGTTTTCTTTTCAAATATACTTCTATTTAGTCCTATTAGTAGTATTAGAACATTTTATTCACTTGACTACACTTTGTTATAAAGAAATTTTATGGAGCTATTTCAGTAACACAGCTCTTAGAGATTACATTTAGATGCATGTAATCAAATCACAAATAGTGTCTTAATTAACTATTAAAACATTACAGTCCAAGAAAATAAAGCGTGACGCAAGGGATGTAATTTAGTCTTCATCCTTCTAGATCTAAACCTATTGCTTTGATTTAGAATGATAACACACTCAATAAAATGATTACTAATCTAGGGATAATTCTGAAGTTAAAAAGAAGAAAATTCTGTGTTGTTACAATGGTCTGTTTCAAATATGTTGCTTTAATAATTAAATTCTAATATCTAGTTGATTTAATATTTGACAATAAAAGAAAAAAATATCTTTTTTTAAATGGGACTAATCTCTTTTAATTTTGGTATTCATACAATACTAGAATACCTGTCGTGCATTGTTACGAGCGCAGAATAAAGGTAAGAAAGGATATTCAATTAAAGTTGACAATTTACATAGTTCTCATTTCTATTGAAAGTTTCAAATCTAGATCTACACAACGAACTTGCGCAACATTTTGTATCAACGTGTGTTTTAAAACTTGTCTCCTTGTCTTATCCAGTGTTTATTCCAGACATCTCTTCGGGAAGAAAGAGCACAGCGATAGTTTTTTTAAGCAAGCAATTTTATGGACAAAGGGGAATAACCAAGTTAATATTTTTCGCAAAATAATCTAAGCTTAGTTATCCTCGAAAAGATTTTTTTCGTTCCTTAAAAGGTCAAAGTTTTATTTTTAATCGCAGAAACCTTTCCGGGTGTATTCTCCACAACTTTACAAAGTTTCGTGGCGATTGTATAAACGTTATAGCAATACATAAAAGGCCCACAAGCACACATAATTTAATTTATAATATTTAAATAGGGCCTACATGTTTATAATAAAAACATGTAAAGGTATTAGAACAGGGATGGCCTTTTGGTGGCTATAACAGATGATATTTTAATTAATTTCAATTGGGAAAACTGCGTTGAGAAACCGACAATTTTTCATTTGGCGTACGAGATAAAATTCGTATCTTGAGGCACTAGGCCTACTGTAGGCTCTAGGCTAATCTCCGATTAAAAGTAAAAGAGATTTACTGCAGAATCATGAAAAGGCATGTGTAATCGATCATTTATGTTTATATCTTCTGTTGACTTGTTGATCTGCTAAAGAAGGAAAGAGACAGTGGATAAAGAAATACAATATAAAAAGGTAAACTTATTCAATATAACGATAATAATCTAACAGATACGGCAATATGTGTGACTGCTAAAGATTCTATAATCTAGATTTAGATCTAGAAAGAATACAAAGTGAATTCAGTAAAACAGCCAATTTTTTTTCTCTAAACCACGTACTGTACTTTCTAATCTACTTACTTAAGTTATTAACTTATGGTAATCTATCGTTTTGGGTACGTAAAATCGCCCGCGGCTATTTATGTACGAAAACGTTACCTCATTGTCAAGGCTTTAATAGAAGTATATTGTCATATGTTTGTGTCAAATATTATAGATAAATGAATAATAAACCTAAATCAATGGCTAAATATATCGATATAGGCCAGAAATTAACTTTAAACAGCAGTGTCTGAGAGCAAGATTTGCTATATAAACAGCAGCCATTTGTAAAATAGAGTGGCTTCCCCCTGAATCTGGCGCTAAAAACTTATAAAAATAAAACTTAGACAAGATGGCTGCTATAGTAAATGAGCATGGATGCATCTGTTGGAAACATCGCTAGTCTTCATTTATTACGGAAAAGTTTTAATTCAAATGTTTAAAAACAGGTACATAAATGAATCAAGGAAACATTTTTGAATTTTTTAAAACATAAATCCTCCTCAAAATGTGAAATAATTATTAAAATTTAAGGAGTCACCTGTTTTTCACATTACAAATTGCGGGCGATTTTACGTACCCAAAACGATAGATTACCTAACTTATTACTTTACATAGTACTTTAATCAATACTTCTACTCTTGTATACGGAGTAGTTAAACTAGTAGATCAAATATAAAGTAATTTTGTTAACTTATGACCCCCCCCCCTTTGAAGCTCATCTACCATTTACCCCCCCCCCCCCCCCTTATACTTTAACAAAATATAATTTATATAATTTATATAGAATTAGAATATATATACTTTTAGTCGTCACCCCCCCCCCCCCCCCCCCCCCCGAAACTCTTAAGTTCTAAACTAAATAAGTACATAAGGAGAAAATACTTATCTTTTATCTTATTAAAATTCTTGATTTATATCCGAAAAAAATCTAGCTAGATTCTAGTATTACTTCATTTTTTATAAAAATTAATATCTCAAGCATTGAAGGAAAAGGAAATGGGATGAGGGAGGCTCACATCCAAACTGACTTGTAGACAATAAAGAAGTGATTTTTTTTTTGGTGGCTGACCCCTAATAATTTACTGCCTGCAAACTAAAATACTCTTATTACAAAATCTTATAATAATTTATCATTATTGCACATCAATTTATATAAAATTAAATATGCTTTTTAGTTTCATTTTCAACAGATTTCTACACAAGTTTATAAAAAGAAGATGGCTTACTCACTTACTCTACTTAAGGCTGTTGACATTTTCAAAATGTTGTCTTAACTACAGTCCATGACACAACTATACACAGGAACTCTATCAAATATAAATTATTAGGTCAGTAATTGAACTTAACTATACATTTATAATTTTCATTAATGTACTAAATAAACATGACTCATGCCCCAACCATGACAAAGATGATACCTACTACTTGTTGACAGATCTTCAGACTAAGAACAGGCTACAATAGTATAAGTCAAAGCATTTTCTTGAAATGTAAGTTGGTACCCGTGACTCATGCCTTTTTTTGTACGGCTCCAGAAAATGCTGATACTTATACCAACAGATGCGGTTTATACACTACGGCGTCAGAAAACCCCAGTAAAAAAAATTTTTTGGCAAAATTCTGGACCACTGTGCAATTATTTCATAATGTTGTATTTGTCGTCTGATCCCTTCCAAAGATATTACATTAAAAAAAATAAGAAAATAAAAAGAATAAGAAAAACTCAAGATTTAAAAATAATTTGCATTGCATCATTCAAAAAAAATTAGATTTGTTAAATATATTGAAATTGTGCTTACAATTCTTTATTTAAATTTTCAGCTTGTGCTTCAATTATTCTTACTTCAAAAGATTTATTATTGGTTTATGAATTGGGGCTTCTTCTGCTTTTCTTTTCCAGCATTTTTAAAATATGGCAAGTGTAAATTTTACTTTGATACAAACTTTTCATTGGTGTATTCAGTTCTGTTTTGTTTAAACTCACACAATTTTTTTTTAAAATTACCATTAAAAAAATTACCTTCTCTGTTTTTGTTCCAACAAATTATATTCTTTGGAAAATAGTACAAAATAATTATAATAAAGATGTTGTTTCAGCCCCTGAAATTAAATATAAAAAGAAGACTTGTCTCCCACTCTGAGCGAGTCAAGAGTGTAGAGCTGCACCCTACTGAACCCTGGATGCTGACTAGCTTATATAATGGACATGCATACATTTGGAACATTGAAACTAAGGTTTGCTCTTGCTATTTTTTTAAATAGAATTATTCCAGTTGTGTCATTCCCTACTCAGATATGATATGAGCACAGGTTGAAAAAAAAACAATTTACCTTATTGACCAGTGTACATTTTTTTTAACTATTTCATTTATGCTTAGTTCATTAAAAAATATTTTAAGTGGCAACTTTTTTGTTTCAGCAAGTGATAAAAACCCTAGATGTGAGTAATTTGCCAGTTAGAGTGGCCAGATTTATTCCCAGGAAAAACTGGATCGTAACTGGCTCAGTAAGTTTTAACCTTACCCTTGTTTATTTATGTGTTCAATGTTTAAATTCCTTAGAGTGCAACTTTATATCTATTCAAGATTCTCATTAACTCAAAGAATGTGCATGTTCATAGTATGTTCATCAGTTAAACTTCTATTATAATGATTTTTAATTGCCTAAAAGTGATGAAAACAATGTTTTTGAAATGACCAAATATAAATTTCTAGAATCAAATATAATTAATTGCTCAGTTCTTTGAGTGGAATGTTTTTTTTCTTAAAAAAACAAACATTTTTATTGTGTTTTTTTTAAAAATTGTAATATTTTGCTAATGTTTACAGTAACATAAATGTTCAATGATTTCATGATTTATTGGTTTATATGACATATTTTTCACACTACAGGATGATGCCCTTGTTCGTGTTTTTAATTACAATACATTAGAAAATGTCGTGCAGTTTGTGTCTCATATGGACTTCATCCGCAGCATAGCTGTCCATCCAACACTGCCATACATCCTCACAACTGGAGGTAATTCTGAACACCTTCACATGTAAACAGTTAGAGTTCTTGTTCTTTTGTTTTGGTATTTTTAAAGTACCTGCTTGTATTTCAGATGATGGCACAATCAGGTTGTGGAACTGGGAAAAGAAATGGGCCAGGATAAAAGAATATAGAGGCCATACATATGTTGTCATGCAGGTTGTCTTCAACCCTAAAGATAACCACCAGTTTGCCACAGCATCCTTAGATAAAACAGTAAAGGTAGGTTTTGTCTATAAACTTTTTCTGCACATAGGTGCTAGGGATTTTTATGTTATCTTATTCAAATGCTACTTTTTTTTTTAAATTTTTGTATAATATAAGAGAATAACTTATTAATGTTAAAGTTATTTTCTTTACAAATTTTTATTTATTATCGCATAAAAATATATTTTAACTTAAATTAATGAAGTTTTAAATATAATTTAAACCTGAATTCTAGTTATATCAGTTTTTGTATTTATTAAAATATTAATTTCTCCTTTGAATTGAAGGTTTGGCAGCTAGGAGCATTAACTCCTAACTTCTCTTTAAAACATGATAAAGATGTAAACTGCTTGGACTACCATCCAGGAAATGACAAGCCATATATAGTAACAGGAGAAGATGGGGGTGCTGTAAAGATCTGGGACTACCAGGTGGGTGGTGAGAAAACAGTGAAGCAGTATGTGTAGGTTATTCTCATTGAAATAAGTAGGTTATGTTTCTTTGAACTGAAATGTGTAGTTTATATATAAAGTTAAACGTAACTGTGTAGGTTCCAAAAATGTGAACTAAAATGTATAGGTAAGGTTTATTTTTAAATGAAATAAGTAGTTTCTACTCATTTCATTGTTTTATATACTTATCACTCCAGTATTGCTCAGCATTAAGTGAAAGTCTCAGGTGAATGCCATTCTAGTAATGTCTCAGGTATTTTGTTTTGATAGCTTCTGTGTGAATTGTATCTGCTCAGGTAGGCTTAGTTGTACAGTATAAAATACATTTATTTTAAAGCCCTTTATTTCAAGTTAAAAAATTTGCCTTGACTATTTTCACTCAGACCAAGTCATGTGTCCAGACACTGCAGGTTCATACAAAAGATGTCAACACAGTGCTCTTCCATCCTTCTCTTCCCATCATCCTCTCTGGTGGAGCTGATGGTGAGTACAGTCTAATAAATCATTGCTACGCTGATTTGTTAAAACAGTGTACAATGGTGCAGGAAGACTAAAACTTCACTTCAGTAGTAAAAATTTCTCCTTCTGTGAGCTGGTATCTCAAATAATATAAACTATAAATACTTTCTGTTTTGAAATATTTCAAGGATTAAAGTAACAATATTACTTAAAGTCTCTTTGACCTAGTACTGTTAGTACCATTTTAAACATTTTTACCTCATATTGCAAAGTATCGGAGAAAATCTGCCTTAGGACCTGTATTTATATTCAAACATAGAGTATTTTGGTCGTAATTTAAGATCTTTAAAGACAGGCTATATTTAAAAGGGTCATAAAACTCTCTATTTTGATGTGTTAAAAATGTTTATTTCCTGTAACTGCACCCATCAGGAACTGTTCGCATGTGGCACTCCAGCACTTACAGGCTTGAGAAAACATTTAACTTTGGCCTGGAGAGAGTCTGGATGATAGCATGCCAGAGGGAGTCCAACAATGTTGCCATTGCTTTTGATGAAGGCTGCATGGCTATAGGGGTAAGCCATTTCTTTTAAATCAGTTCAATATTAAGTTTTATATTTTTGTAAATATAAGTTAAAGATAAGTGAAAGTGGTAGATTCAAAATAGCAAATTTAATATATCTCTTGATGATTTATATATGGCTGAGGATTTAGTGAGTTTAAAATATGTGCAGTGTTCTCCGGCTTATAAGATGATTTTTTAACCCTGGAAAATCTCAAAAGTTGGTGGTCATCTTTTATGCTAAATGTTTTATTATAGGGCAGGTATATCCCTAATTCTATATTTTAATCTGATAAATTAAGGCTCACCCTATATACCCTGTTGCCTTGTAAGCTGGAAAAATGCAATATACCTCTATATTTTTGGCCATTTTTCATTTTTTTTCATGTGACTATTCATTGCTAATTTATAAGACTGACTCTACTAAATAGATAAAAATTGTTGCATTAGATAGGTCAGCAGGAGCCCCCCATGTCCATGGACCAGTCAGGCAGAATACTCTGGGCCAAACACTGTGAGATCCAGCAAGCAAACATCAAGTCTATGGGAGACCAGCCTGTCAAGGATGGAGAAGTTCTTGTCCTTGCCATTAAAGACATGGGCAGCTGTGAGATCTACCCACAAGCCATTTCCCATAACAGCAATGGAAGGTTGGTTTTATAACACAAAAGCTGCATTCTTAAAATAAAAAAAAAATTTTTTGATCATTTATTAATGTCTACTTATGAAGGAGTATTATAAAAATCTTTATTTAAACTATGAATAAGTTGTAAAAACTACCCTTTCAGATTTTTCTTAAATTTCTTTGACATGTGAAAGAATTATATGTTCAACACTATGCCTAGCCACCCTTCCTTTCTCTGCCTGGAGTGAGATACCTATCAAAGTGGATGGACTTTGGAAAATCTTGCTGACCCAAGCCCTGAAACTGAACTCACTGCTCCATCATTTGTATACATTACTGAATAGTTTTCATTGAGCGTTTGAAAACATGCCAGTTAATAAAGAACAATTTTCTCATAGATTTGCTGTGGTGTGTGTGCTCTACTCCAATTACTGCTGCATCAATTGTATATGGTCCTAAATATATTTTAAGTAGCATTTGAAAACATGCCAGTTAATAAAGAACAATTTTGTTGTAGATTTGCTGTGGTGTGTGTGCTCTACTCCAATTACTGCTGCATCATTTGTATATGGTCCTAAATATATTTTAAGTAGCATTTGAAAACATGCCAGTTAATAAAGAACAATTTTGTTGTAGATTTGCTGTGGTGTGCGGTGATGGTGAGTACATAGTCTACACAGCTATGGCCCTGAGGAGCAAATGTTTTGGGACTGCGCAAGAGTTTGTCTGGGCTGATGACTCATCTACCTATGCCATAAGAGAAGGGAATTCAACTATAAAAATCTTCAAAAATTTTGTGCAGCACAAGTCTTTCAAGCCAGCTGTAACTGCAGAAGGTAATCAAATATCTATTTATTTCTTCAGTTCATTGTCTCCCTTCTGTTGGCATGGTAAAGTGGGATAAAAGAAAGATACAATTTTGAGACTGGGACAGAGTAATTTTGGGCATATTATATATATATATATATATATATATATATATATATATATATATATATATATATATATATATATATATATATATATATATATAGTGGGTTATTGACCAGACACCATTTGCTTGAATGATATCAAATTAGATATATATAGCAACTTTATTTCAGAGTACTAAGTACCAGAAAAAATATAAAGATAAAACTGTGGTACCTGGACATTTTGTATACAATTTTATAACAAATGGTTGGTTAACAGTGAGTTGAAACAAGCTATGTGATGAATTATTTTACACTTCTCTGAGCTCAATATTCTGCCAAAATATTGCAGGTATATTTGGTGGTCATCTACTTGGTGTATGTACACCCAATGTACTCACTTTCTATGACTGGGATAGCTTAGCACTTGTTAGGAAAATTGAAATCATCCCAAAACATGTAAGGTTCATATCCAAATTTTTAAAATGAATTGATAATAAAAGCTTCTCAATTAATTAAACCTTCTTGTTTTAAAATTGTTCCTTTTTTAGAATATCACAATTTAATAGTTTATCAATTCCCTTACTTTTAAAAAAAGATATTAGCTTTAATTATATTTAAATAATTTATAGTTTTTGTGATTAGTAGTAAAAAATAATTGTCTGCTTTATTATTGTGCATTAAATTTTTTTAAATTTAATCATCATACTTGTACATTATTATTTTAAATCCTTAAATTCTGTTTGTTTGTTTTAATATTTTTATTTTTATTATCCAGATATTCTGGAATGACAGTGGTAATTTAGTCTGCATTGCCACTGGAGAATCTTGCTTTATTTTAAGATTTAATTCTGAAGTTTTGGAGAATTCAAATTTGGATCCAGAAAAAATAACTGAGGATGGAATAGAAGACGTTTTTGAGGTGCCTCTTTATTGATCATAGTTTTTTTTTTTTCAATTAGTTTTTAGTAACTTGATGTATAGCTAAAATGCATCAGTGGAACTAATTAAGTAATTTTTTGGCATATTCAGGTTTATTTATATAATTTCTTTTTGATGTTAGTTATTATTTTTGGCATTTCTATAATGGACACCAGCGAGAAAAGTCTCAAAGGTATTTGAGAGGTGCATAAATTAATTTAAAAATCAGGCACGGCGTAGTTACAATTAATATGGTTATAAAATCCTGTCTGTATGGTTTTTTTCGGACTTTACTAAAGATTGGGTGTATTTGATGTTTTTAAAATTTTCTGTAACTAAATAAAAATTTAAAAAAACGCAAAAACAATTTGATTTTCACGTGTAATGGCGACATAAACAATGGCCGCCATAAATTTTATTGTACACATTGTAAGCTAAAAATAGAAAAAATAGGTCATGGTGTTTAAATTTGCATAGTTATTTAAAAACTTGATCTGCAAAGTTTTGTAAACAAAATAACTATAAAGTGGGGCTGTCAGAAATCGATCACGGAGTTCCTTTACAGCCAATCAATGTTTGTCTTACGAAAGTGAAACATCGGGTTATAACTTAGGCTTGATGAAAATAAATAGAAATGTAGCCTTAAACTCAACAAATTATTTTCAAGTTCTCTGGATCTGCAACTTGTATAGCATTGATTCTAAAAATATTACATTTCTGAATTAATTTTAGGCTTAAGTTTTTAATAAAATTGTATCTTTTATTAGTTTTATGGTCCTAAATCTAAAAAAGCACATTTTTATTCCATGTCATTGATGTCAACAACATTACGGAAGGAATCTCGTCAACTCGCTGGTGTCCGTTGCTAGCAGTGCATATTTATATCATGTCTAGTTTTCATGTGTGGATCTATCGAAGTAGAGTTGGTCATATTTGTTTTGCCAAGTTTACAATTAACCGAAAAGCAACTTATTTTTTATTTGAACTTGTTCCTAAAAGTATTTACTGAACCATGAATGCTGAGCCGAAATTTGTTAAATTTTTAAACAGATTTCACTATAGTAACTGTTGAACAGTTAAATAATCATTGTTATTTGTTTTGTAAAAAATTTGATTTTTGTGTTTCAGGTTTTAGAAGAAATGAGTGAGATAGTCATAACAGGTGTATGGGTAGGGGACTGTTTTATCTACACCAGTAGTATCCACAGAATTAATTACTTTATCGGAAGGGAAACTATAACAGTGGCTCATTTAGACAGGTGAACTTTGTTTTGTTTTTTCTATCTACTTTTGTATGTTATATGAGCAGCAAAGCCAGTTTGATGATAGAGGTTAAAAAAAAACAACATACCAATGTTTAATTCTGAACAATTGTTTTGTTACTTGTTTCTCTTCACTCATTACTCTCCCAGGCTTTGTGTTTGGTATTTCTTTGTTTCTTATTTGTGAGTCACAGCCAAAGTGTTATATAGGAATTATCATATTTTGCTATTCTGTTCATTTACTTATAGTTCATTTAATAATATGACCCTGGTGTCTGAATAATTGTTTACACAGGCCCATGTACATCCTGGGATACATCGCTAAGGACAACAGACTGTATCTAGGGGACAAGGACCGTAACATTGTCAGCTATTCCATCCTGCTGTCAGTGTTGGAGTACCAGACAGCTGTCATCAGGAGAGATTTTGAAAATGCTGACAAAATTCTACCCACAGTTCCTATATCTCAGCGGAGCCGTCTGGCTCATTTCCTTGAGAATCAGGTGGGATATTTTCTTCTGGTACTCTTTCACTAGTTGCCATTGAATAAAAAAAAGTATTAGGCTAAGTCAGGGGCAGATAACTTGAAAGTCCTGAACTGTATAATGCTCTTTGAATTAATAGCTGCGGCCTTTTTAATTTTATTAAAAAAAACTTGACACTAAGAAAAAGGGAAAGAATTTGTTCATTACATTTTATTGTAGTTCTTTTGGTTTAAAGAAACAAATAAAGATTTCTGGATCCCTTTTGTAATATTTTTCATTTATTGCTGAAATATTCCTAGCTTCAAAGTTAACAACTAAAATTGTTGTAATATAGCTAATAGGGATGTGGTGGTCAAATGATAGAGCTTACGACTGCTAGCCCAAAAGTCTTAAGTTCTGATCCCAACAAATGTTAAACATGATGATGATAACAGCTAATAAAGATGTACCTCTTCTAAGTTTGCAGTTTTATCTATTTATATAGTCAAATAGTATAGTGAACATTCAATAAACAGAAAGAAAGTTCACAGAAACATTGTCCGGTTTTCATTTTGTTCCTACTTTACCCATCTTCTGTGTTCTGATAAAGACATTGAGTCGAAATTTACATTGCACATGTGAAGTCTGTGAAACTACTAACACTATTTTTTTAAAAAAAAATCTCTTGTTACATACAGTTAAATATTAAATTGATTGAGTTGGATCGAATACCTTACCTAACTTTTGAATATTGCATTAAAGTTTTGGTCATGATTGAAATGTCAATAAACATATGCTACATTCTTAGACAAATATTGAAAGTCAAATGATTTTTTTTTACCATTTAGGGCTTTAAAGCTCAGGCCTTAGCACTGACAGTAGATCCTGATCACAAATTTGATCTTGCTCTTCAACTAAAAGATCTCAAGACAGCTTATGCAGTGGCCAAGGAAAGTGAATCAGTGGACAAATGGAGGGAGTTGTCCAACCTGGCTATGAAACAGTCAGACTTCAGACTGGCCAAGGAATGTTTGCAGATGTCACAGGATTTTGGTGGACTTTTGTTGTTAGCCAGCAGTTCTGGCAGTGTTGCTGATGTTGCCAGTTTGGCCAGGGATGCGGATGAGGCTGGAAAAAATAATGTTGGATTTGTGGCCCACTTTGTCCTGGGAAGGTATACTTCTTTCATTATGTATTTTAAAATAGCATGCTGTTGTTCAGTAATATATATGTGTGGGAATCATTTCACTTGCCATAAATGTAAGATCTCCTGAGTTAGTATATAAATAATCAATTTTTAAAATGCGAGAACAAGTAAAATTTAATTTAGTTTGGTATGATTGCTTAGAACAATATTGTATTGAGACACAGGAATCTGTCACTTTTACCCTATTAAATATTGAAAATAAAGTTTTTTATATAATGTTGTATTTTGTAGCTTAAGTTTAATAAAACACAAAAGGTTCTTCTTTGTTGGTTTGAACTTACTTATGTCATTGTCACTAATGTCATTGTTACAGAATTGAGTTTTATAATCAGTTGTTGAATTAGTATCTTATGAATGCGAGTTTTCCAAATATAGTTTACTTATTACCAATCACTCTAAACAGGTATGAGGACTGCCTTGAAATTCTGCTTAAAACTAATCGCATTCCCGAGGCAGCATTATTTGCCAGAAGTTATCTCCCTTCTCAAGTTACGAGGTAAATTTTTACTCTTAATATGAATAAAATATTAAACTTTTTGAATTGATATTATAAAACTATTTAGTGTTTTATGAATGTTTTCCTCTAGAGTTGTAACTTTGTGGAGGCAGTTGATGTCTAAAGAAAACAAAAGAATAGCCCTGGCAATAGCTGACCCAACAGAGTATGAGAACCTGTTCCCTGAGTTCAAGGCTGCACTTAGTAAGGAAAGTTTAAGACAAACTGGCAAGTGTAAATCTACTGATGCAACTGACCTACAGACCACTCTGGTATATAACAGATTATTTATTCCCAATCTTTTCCAAGCATTTTTCTTTTTTAGTTTAAAGAAAAATTCAGGATATTATCACATTGTTTATATTACCTGCCTCTTTTACTATATCTTCTTTTGTGATCTATTTTAAGATATAAATGAAAAAATCATTTCTACCCTAGAATAGACCAAGGATTTTACAATTGATCTTTCAGACACCTAATAGAACCTCAGTTAAACAGAACACCACAGATACAGAAAGTCACAGCACTACAGAGGCAGAAAATGACTTAACAGATTTTGAAAATGTGACTAAAAATGTCAGGTCAAGCTCTGAAGATAGTGAGGAGGAGGGAGGGTTTATCAAGATTCCAGTTGGAGCTGAAAAAAAGGTATTACTTGTGCCAAATTTTTCTTACTTTTTTTTCTTAAGTTTTTGATTGTACCTCTGGCAGGTTATAAAGAATCTTTGACTGAGCTAGCATTGCTACTAAAAAAAAAATTAAGATTCCCTTTTTCGTTTTTATAAATACCCAACTATGGGATTTTGTGGTCTGTAGTGCGTACGACTGCTAACCTGCAAGTCTCGAGTTTGGATTCTGGGCTAAAGTCCATGTTTAGTCCACTCAACTCTGATGGTTTACTGATTCACATTAGGGAAAGTAAAAGTGGTTGGGCATAGTGCTGACCACACTATCCCTTCATATACCGAGGTCACTGATATAGGTGAACTCTCCTTTCACCTGCTCCTATGGATTGACATGTTTGAAAGCCATACTTTACACCCAACTAACTTATCAGCATACAACTGTAGATGACTTAAAAGTATGTGTATTATAGATTCCGGTAGAAGCGTGTGAGGCGCCAGAGATTGAAGGCAAGCCGAGTGCCTCTGGTAGCTTCACTTTGTCAGAGCTGGAGAGAGAACTGGAACTAGACTTGGAGAACATCAGCCTTAATGACTACGACTTGAATGTGAGTTTTCACTATCCATTCTATCATCTGTGTCCTCTTGCTTGCTTTTTAACATTGTTACATTATATAACAACGAGCCGACCCGCTGCGTATCATACGCCGCTATTTAGTTGTTTTATTTTCTACTTTTCAGTAATTCATAATTTGTGAATTCGACAGTACCAATGCTGCCACTGAAAATATTTGCTTTAAAACACTAACCCCCCCCCCCCCCCCCCCCCCCCCCGAATAGCAGCCTCCTCTTAGTTACCTCCTGTAAGTTTAAAATCGTTTCAAACTAAATTATCTGCCCATAATAGCCGTCAACAAACCCAGTTTTACAATTTGTAAACATTTAGAGTGAACCACAGCTCACCAGATCATGTGGGGGTGGGGTGGGGGTGATAGTGATAGAGAGGAAGAGAGGGGACTGCAAAGGCGCGCTTGCAGCTTGTTTTCTAACGGCTCCCAGAAGAGAATTATATATATAGATAGATTTTTTGCATTATTAAGAAACACGCTCCTATATTTAAGTGGTCCTTAACGTTTTTAATACCTACAACAGGTCATACTTTACAGAATTAAATAAATTTTGCTTGTTTCATTGTGTAAAAGACAGTGTTATTAAAAGATGTGTCTGCAGAATTATTTATACATATTTTTTCAATACAGTTTTTATCATTTAAAAATTTCAATCTTGCAACATAACTTAAAAAAAAAAATATTTTACTAAAAAAAACACTCACAAAAAAAGGCATCCACTGTACCCTTTCTTTTGAATAAATTTTTTTTTTTATATATATTGACACCATTTTTTATTCACATAACTTTTTTGTGTGTATATTTTTTCCTCTAGGATATTGACCTAGACATTGACTTAAGTGAATGATCAACATCTTTTTGTGACTGTGGATAGAAGGATTATATCACAACAAAAGAATAGTTCACTGTGTCTAGTATCTGTACATGCTGTGGTGTACTTTACACATCAATTCATGTCACACTGGTCGATCATTTATTGATTATCATTGATATCTGATGTGCAATAATTAATTATTATTGAAATCTGATTTATTTATAATGTAGAAATGCATTTAAAATAAAACTGACAATTTTATCAAAAAAGATGCTAAGATATAACTTAACTGCTAACATAAATAACAATAATAACGTTAATATAAAAGTGCCTTTATAAGTATTATAATACTTGTTAATCAGTGATAATACTCGGTTATGTCCCTTTTTTTCTGTAACAGAGGGAATCAACCTAGTCACCCCCCCCTGAATAAGTATTTTGTTTATGTAACTGTTGATTGGGCATAAAATATGTTAATGTCATCTTCATATTTTAAATATTTACTTTTTATTATTTGTAAAAGGGACCACTACACCATTATAGAATTTTTTTTTTAATAAGAATTATTTCCTGATGGATGTACAATATTATATTTTTAAAGAGTTTGTTTCCAGAGAGATAAGTGTACAGTACAATATTTGTCTTTTTTTTTTTTTTGTTGCCCTATTGCAGCCATGTTGTTGTGTCCATGTACCAGGGACCAATGTGGGATTGCTTATGTCATTGACCATTTTTAGCTCATGTAACCTTAACCATGTTGTTCTGCCCATGTACCTAAGGATTTAAGTAGCAGTGTTTGAACTTCAATGTTTACATAACCACAGACCAATGAGCAATTGCCTATGTCATTGACCACTTTTAAACCCATGTAATGTAATCTCAACTGGTTGCTCCTGCACCACAAGGCTATTCAGCTCTTTTAGTATGAGTGTATCTAAGGGGTGTGTTCTATTCCTATCTATAGGGAATGGAATATTTGAATATTTAATAAATACGGGAAGTAATTCTTGTTTACTGAGGATTATATACAATAAATATGGGAAGTAATACCTGGTTTACTGAGGTTGAAGCCATGCGACTGACTATATATTTTGTCTTAATTAGACAACAAAATAAAATGACAGATAATAGTTTTAGGGATATGCAAGAAACACATTAGGGATGTATCGTCTTAACAAGCTGAGAAACGCTTTCATTCTAAGTTTCTGAACATTTAATTGTAAGATATGCCAGTTCATAGAAATGAGTTTAGGCTGAAATGCTTCAGGTTTTTAATATTGTTTATTATTGCTTATTGCATGGTATTTTAAAAACTATCCATCCATTTAAATAACTTTTTTATTGATGCAAGGCAGTTTAAAACAGTTGTCCGGTCAATGCATTTAGAATTCTAATTTTTATAATTGTTTTTGGTAAAAATGGTTAATTTTAAGTAGTCAGACTTGTGATACTTTGTAATTTTCTTAAGTAACAATTTTTTTCTACTTAACAAAATGGGTTGAGGTTTAGTTTTTAAGTTGTATAGTTTGTAGGAATGTTATTTCTTTGTAAAAACTTTAGAAATTCATGTGAAACGAAACATTCCAGATTTTCTTTTATGTTTGTTGACTGAATGATCAAAATCAAATTTGGTTATGGCTCGTTGTTAGAGAGGTCACCAATGAGTTGTTGCTGTTCCAGTAGTTGTCTGTGAGGGGAGGAGTGAGTAATTTCAAATCTACACACTCCTCCTAGCAACAAAAGGGGTAATGTTGGGAGTCCTTATTGCAAAATCGTGTTGGTGATGATGTGTCAGCCCACCAGCATAGGTTGGAACACTACAGCAAGCACCAACTCACCCTCGTACAATTTATTTGGACAGAAATATTTTAAAAAAAATTTGTTTTGAAAAATTAAAAACTTGTCTGTGATATTTTTTAATTACGTAATTAAAAATGCAAATATATATCTGGCTTGTAT